TGGCAACAAACTTTCACAAGTGAGCATTTACAATCTACATATAACACCTTTTTCGGGATATTTTTCAATCACAAGGATGAGGAGAGGGCATTTACGTCTTTTGCACAAACGAGAGATCGAGAGCAAGTCCATGTCCCACCTTTTTCGTGGGATAAAAAATTGCAAATTTTGTCCCATTGTGATCATAGTCCAGTGCACGTCAAAGTAGTACAAATACAACCTGTTCTGTCATGTCATGTCTTGTTACTGAGTTGTGATGTGATGTGTGTAGGTGGTAGATGCAATTGACCTTGCAAAAGCAACAATGTCGAAAGTTCATCAGAATTTGTCGTGGGCTGTGGCGTATAATGTTGTTGCAATCCCCATTGCAGCTGGTGTGCTTCTTCCTCATTTTGATTTTGCCATGACACCTTCACTTTCAGGTAATTTACATTTTTATTTTCTTATAAATTGATTTTGATATTTCTTTGGGCTCCATTTGTTATCTGGACTAGACAAAAATGACGAGGATAGGATATTCACATCTTTTGCACAAACCAGAGATTAAGTGCGAGTCCCTGACAAATGAAATTGGTCCTTGACTGGTCTAAAACCAGTCCTTTTTTTAAAAAAGGACCGGTTAGACCTAGGGGTGAGCATTTGGACCGGATCGGTTTTGGAGAATATCGTGGACCGTGGACCGGATGAGACTTAACGGGTCCAGGTCTCCAGGTCCGGGTTTTCCAGTTCTTGGACCTGTTTGGACCGGTACAACTTTATATGCATACGGTACAAGTTAAAACGTGTTTTTGGGTTTGATACAACTCGTTAAAACGAATATGTTGTTGGGTTTGATACGTTACAACTCGTTAAAATGAATACTTTTTTGGGTTTGATACGGTACAACTCGTAAAAATGAATTCGTTTTCGTTTATTGTGCCTTTTGGACCGGTCAAACTTTGTTTATTTATACTTTATACTATTTGTTTGAAGGATTGTAACTCATTGAATATAACACCAAAAACAACAAAATTATAGTCTAAAATAATCTACAAACTCTAAAGTACACGTTGGAAAAAGCGCATGTCAATCCGACTTAAAACAAATGAGATATGATTGTTTAAAGAATTTCACAGAATAAAAAAGTTTAAATTTTTTGTTGAAAAGCTGAAATATTTCAGCTTTGATATCTTATTTTTGAAAGATTGTAACTCATTGAATATAACACCAAAAACAACAAAATTATAGTCTAAAATCATCTACAAACTTTAAATTACACGTTGGGAAAGACCGCATGTCGATCCGACTTAAAACGAATGAGATATGCTTGTTTAAAGAATTTCACAGAATACAAAACTTTAAATTTCTTGTTGAAAAACTGAAATATTTCAGCTTTGATATTTCATCTTTGAAGCATTGTAACTCATCGAATATAATACCAAAAACAACAAAATTATAGTCTAAAATCATCTACAAACTCTAAATTACACGTTAGAAAAAACTTCATGTTAATCCGACTTAAAACGAATGAGGTATGTTTATTTAAATAATTTCACAGAATTGCTGAAAAGCTGAAATATTTCAACTTTGATATCTCATCTTTGAATGATTGTAACTCATCAAATATAACAACAAAAACAACAAAATTAGTCTAAAATCATCTACAAATTCTAACTTACACGTTGGAAAAAACCGCATGTCAATTCGACTTAAAACGAATGAGATATGTTTCTTTAAATAATTTTACAAAATACAATTTTTTTAAAAAATAAACCGGTCCAAAACCAGTTTTTACTTGGAACCGGCCCGGACCGTTTTTGCTGAAATCCTAGAACCGAGAACCGGCTGGGGGTCCAAAAAAACGGTCCGGTCTGGTCCACAGGTCCAAATGCTCACCCCTACTTAGACCAGTCCTCCGGTCTTTACTTTCGGTTGAATGACCGAATTAAATCCGGTTTCAGTCATAAGTTGGTTAAAGACTGAAACCGGTTTAAAACTGGAATGAAATTAGTCCTAAATCAATTTTAATATTATATATTAAAGGCATTTATGTCACCAGTACTTTTATTGGTAATCATGAAAGTTTATAGCTAAACATAATGAATGCATTGATTATCTATCAATTGATTAATAACCAAACATTATATTTATACATGCTTCCCTCACTTTTTGATGCGATTAAATCTTTTTATATAAATATTCTTCCAATTATATAACATGTATCGAGTACTGAAATTTAACAAATATTCTTAAAATGATGTTTAATAACTCTTGTTATCTTGCAAATTTACATTTACCTGGTATATATGATACCTCAAGTCTCGAATGGGTGATTAAGTGAATAATTAATATATTCTCACATTTTACCTTTTATAAATAAAAATAGAAATACATTGCCACTTTGCCAGATTGAAGATTGAATATATTACATATTTTGTATGACTGAAAAAATATTAACAATTTATATTTTTTGAACCTTATATGGCTGAAAAAAATAAAGAAAAACGGGACTGATTATGAAAAAATATTAACATTTTTTTTTTTTGGTTTTCATTTGTTTGTTTTGATAATTGATAGGTGGACTTATGGCGTTTAGTTCAATATTTGTTGTGAGCAACTCACTTCTTTTACAACTTCACGGGTCTCATAATAAAAAAATGAAAAACGAAGGTGAAAAGCGGATTGAATCTACATCTTTAAGAGCATAAAGATGTTGATTGATTGTGTTATATAATTTATACGATGTAATACGGTTGTTATTGAGATCTGATTTATCGTAAACTATGTAAGTAGAGGAAATCAAAGGCAAAGGAATATTGTGCTTCAACTTGTTGTACCTTTGCCATGATATAACAACACGTATAGAGTACAAACTACAAACTGTTTCTTGAAATTATTATAAATATTGGTCTTTAAATTTATATATAAGCAGTTTATATTTTGTTATTTTTGTTTTTAAGTTGATTACATTATAGCATGGTTTCATTACATTATATCTGTCTATTTGTTGTAGAATTTCATTACATGATTTTTTTTACCAAAACCAAATGATCATATTTTTTTTATATTTATTTCAAAATAATCATCACTTTACGAAAAGTATGGATGATTTAAAAATATGGTTTTGGGAAAAGAAGGTTTTGAAAGGACAACAGTATATTGTAGCCACATGCTATCATTGGATTTTTAATATAAAACTTAATGATATTAATTATTGTATATAATCCTATCTTATATAATACAAGCATTTATACGTAGATCTTGTCTCAAGAACTATAAAAGAAGCAAAAAAAGACACCTACTAGAGATATGTATACGCCGGTGTGTACCTTCTCACTACCTTTCACTTTTTGCCTACCACTTCATCACCATGTCATTTTCCTTTTACCATCATCTCACCCTTTTCACCGTAGTAAATGGTCACATATCACCCCCTCAAAATATGCAACGACTAGTGTTTTACTGTACAATATCAGAAAGCATGTAAAAAAAAAGAGAAGAGAGAAGCGGATGCGGTGAAATGGTCTTGTGCTGGGAGGGTCACTACACCACTGCGGTGACCCCTCATCACCTCACGGTGTGCGGTGTCGATACACCTACTGGCCTTATATATTAATATAAGATTCATCTTATCTTAAATTTGAATATGATTGATTAAGGATTGTGTTCTAAACCATAAGAAATAGTAATACTATTTAAACCAATAGATATTAAGATAAGATTCCATTTATTTTAATTTTGAAAATGATTGATTAAGGTTTGTGTTAAATTATAGAAAATACAAACACTATTCAAAACAATAAATATTAAGATAAGATTCCATTTATCTTAAACTTGAAAATGATTGATTAAGGTTTGTATTGAAAAGATAGAAAATGATAATAATATTTAAAATAATAAATATTTGTAAGATAAATATAATCAAGATAATTCGATAATGTTAATATAGTTTTGGTTCATTTTCTTCCATTTGGAATCGTATAAATTTATTTAATAGAAATAATAATATCAAAGTTGTACAAGCAACAAACCCATTCAATCTTACATGTATTGTTTCTATTGTAATAAAAAAAACGATAATTAAACAACTTTATCGAATAAATCCGTTTTCCACATGTTTACCGCTTCAAAATGTGTGTTTCGAAAATTCCAAATGACCCAAAAATTTGTGATTATAACTACACCAAGACAACTTCTTTGGACCACATTAAACTTGGAATTATCCACCAAAGTAATCTAATTTGTGACCTAGGCAAAAGAAGGAATGTCTAAACTCCCACAATCTTTTGATTTGTGGCCAAATAGATGTAGCAATTACTATATATGTGGTCCAGAATCCTGTATGTCAGTGGACAAATAACCGATTCAACATCAATTCCTTTATTAAGTACATTAGTTATGGTTGCAATATTTTTAACTACAACCTTCAAGTTAAAACATTCAACTTGACAATAACAAGAAAATCCCATCTCGTTGAATTATTTTTAACTATAACCATAGATAATTGCCTAAAACGGCCATCTTCACCATAGATGACTTCAATAACACGAACCCACAAAGCTTGATCGTTTTCAAGAAACCCTGCCTCCAATTAAAAAGAAAAGTCCAATCGAACAAAAACAAACAACCCACTCCCTCATAGCTTAAAGGGCCTAAAGAGTTCAGAGTTCAAGTCTCATGGTGGACAAATGTGTAGTTTAAAAGTACGATTTAGAATGCAAAACTGATCAAGGAAAGTCCAAAACTGATTAAGAAAAGTCCACCATCCCAATATGTTAACCTTGGTTTGAAGCCAATTATTTCATTTTGTTTGAACACCACCATTACCCAAGGAACACAAATCAATAAATAGTTTTCCATTGTTTGTTCATATGTTTGTATTTGTTTATTGTTTGGGTAAACTTGAAGAAACACACAAACAAGCCACATTTATATCGATTCGATTCGTTTAAACACCCCATAGTATCATTCGTTTTTAACCCACAACACCATATGCAATAACTAACAAATAATAACAATAATAAAAAAAAGTGCATTTCTCATTAATAAATGACCCAAACATTTTTTCCTTACGCCCATAAAATACCAAAGGACACTGCACATGTTAGTTATTATAACCTATTTACTCATAAATCCATCCTCCCAACTTCCAAACTAACAATTTTCAATAAATCTAGAACCACATCGATGCAAATTCACCATCGAAAACGATCTAATCGAAGACATGTTCTTCTTATTTAACTCAAGATCTTTGTTTTCTGAAGTAAACCGCAATGTGGAGGATTTGGCTTTCTTTGATATTCGTCCCATATTGATACCCGATAGTTGGAACGCAGTGTGGTTCTTGTTTTTATGCGATAAAATAGTGGAAGCTACAAGATTTCTTCGTTTTCTTGTGTACGCGTTATCTGGTTTTGCAATTTCATGTATTGATGGTTTAGATGAGGGCCACATTTCGGTTAAAGATGTGAATGATTTTGATTTCCCGTTGTAGAACGTTGATATTCCTCTTCTGTAAATAAAATGAGCGTTAACTTTTAGTAATCGGTATAAAGTATTAAAATAGTTTTTATTTATTTATTTATTATAAATTTTAGACAAAAGAATAAAGTAGTTTACTCTCGTTTAGTTGTAATAGTTATATACTACTAGTAATAAACATTCCATTTTTATTTAATATTTGACTCTCGTTTAGTTGTTCATCAACTCGACGAGTTCATGACCATCTTCATATGACTCGCCGAGTTGACTATGCAACTCGCCGAGTCCTTGCAGACCTTCATCCATGCAGACACTTTTCAAGCCATGCCAAGGTTCCAGATTACAGATCCAAGCTTCTAAGGCATGTTTATCACGTAAAGTTGCAAACTTTACATGCATGCAAGGCCCTAAAGGCTCCAAATGACCAATCTAAGCTTCTAATGGAGCTTTACACCATAGGAGAGTCTCATCCTTGCAAAAGCTGGAAACTTTATGGACTTAGGACTCAAAAGAGGTTCAGATCTGAAGTTTCAACTTCAGATCTAGCTCCCATACCAAAATCCCTTCATGAATAACTAAAGAAAGCCCTAGTTTCCACATATGAATGATTCTAGAAGAAAAAGAGGTTAAGGTAACAACTGGTTACCTCCAAAACGTGCCCAAACTGAAGTAGGCTCTGGATCCACACATAAATCTTGATGCTAGCCTCTTGATCTACAAATTTCCTTCACAAAAGTCACTTCCCAAAGCTCCAAAACACTCTCCAAGCTCTCACTCACGGAAATTAGGGTTTCTGGGTCTCAAGAGGGTGATAGAGGACAGTGGGAGGCGCTAATGGTCCAATATATAGGGTGCAAAACCCTGAAAATTAGGGTTTCCACTGCCAGCTCCTACTCGTCGAGTCCCTCATGCCGACTCGACGAGTCACTCATTAATTGACGTGTCCTGGCCCGCTGCTACTCGACGAGTCAAGCGCCAACTCGTCGAGTAGACCTTAGACATGAAGTCTAAATGGAAAAATTAATAATACCTGACGGTGGGGATGTTACAATTCTCCCCTACTTGACTTAGACTTCGTCCTCGAAGTCTGCTGTAGCGAATAACTCTAGGTAATGCTCCCGCATCTCAGCCTCCGACTCCCATGTCCACTCGGATCCCCTACGATGCTCCCATTATATCTTTACCAATGGAACCTCCTTGTTGCGCAGGACTTTCACTTTCCTTTCCAAAACAACAATCGGCCTCTCAATATAATTCAGGCGCTCATCAATCTGAATGTCATCCAGTGGCACCACCACCTCCGGGTCCACAATGCACTTTCGCAACTGCGAAACGTGGAAAGTACTGTGGATCCGACTAAGCTCCTCCGGCAGATCTAGTCTGTAAGCCACCTTGCCAACCCTGACAATGATCCTAAACGGCCCAATATATTGGGAAAAGAAGGTTTTGAAAGGACAACAGTATATTGTAGCCACATGCTATCATTGGATTTTTAATATAAAACTTAATGATATTAATTATTGTATATAATCCTATCTTATATAATACAAGCATTTATACGTAGATCTTGTCTCAAGAACTATAAAAGAAGCAAAAAAAGACACCTACTAGAGATATGTATACGCCGGTGTGTACCTTCTCACTACCTTTCACTTTTTGCCTACCACTTCATCACCATGTCATTTTCCTTTTACCATCATCTCACCCTTTTCACCGTAGTAAATGGTCACATATCACCCCCTCAAAATATGCAACGACTAGTGTTTTACTGTACAATATCAGAAAGCATGTAAAAAAAAAGAGAAGAGAGAAGCGGATGCGGTGAAATGGTCTTGTGCTGGGAGGGTCACTACACCACTGCGGTGACCCCTCATCACCTCACGGTGTGCGGTGTCGATACACCTACTGGCCTTATATATTAATATAAGATTCCTCTTATCTTAAATTTGAATATGATTGATTAAGGATTGTGTTCTAAACCATAAGAAATAGTAATACTATTTAAACCAATAGATATTAAGATAAGATTCCATTTATTTTAATTTTGAAAATGATTGATTAAGGTTTGTGTTAAATTATAGAAAATACAAACACTATTCAAAACAATAAATATTAAGATAAGATTCCATTTATCTTAAACTTGAAAATGATTGATTAAGGTTTGTATTGAAAAGATAGAAAATGATAATAATATTTAAAATAATAAATATTTGTAAGATAAATATAATCAAGATAATTCGATAATGTTAATATAGTTTTGGTTCATTTTCTTCCATTTGGAATCGTATAAATTTATTTAATAGAAATAATAATATCAAAGTTGTACAAGCAACAAACCCATTCAATCTTACATGTATTGTTTCTATTGTAATAAAAAAAAACGATAATTAAACAACTTTATCGAATAAATCCGTTTTCCACATGTTTACCGCTTCAAAATGTGTGTTTCGAAAATTCCAAATGACCCAAAAATTTGTGATTATAACTACACCAAGACAACTTCTTTGGACCACATTAAACTTGGAATTATCCACCAAAGTAATCTAATTTGTGACCTAGGCAAAAGAAGGAATGTCTAAACTCCCACAATCTTTTGATTTGTGGCCAAATAGATGTAGCAATTACTATATATGTGGTCCAGAATCCTGTATGTCAGTGGACAAATAACCGATTCAACATCAATTCCTTTATTAAGTACATTAGTTATGGTTGCAATATTTTTAACTACAACCTTCAAGTTAAAACATTCAACTTGACAATAACAAGAAAATCCCATCTCGTTGAATTATTTTTAACTATAACCATAGATAATTGCCTAAAACGGCCATCTTCACCATAGATGACTTCAATAACACGAACCCACAAAGCTTGATCGTTTTCAAGAAACCCTGCCTCCAATTAAAAAGAAAAGTCCAATCGAACAAAAACAAACAACCCACTCCCTCATAGCTTAAAGGGCCTAAAGAGTTCAGAGTTCAAGTCTCATGGTGGACAAATGTGTAGTTTAAAAGTACGATTTAGAATGCAAAACTGATCAAGGAAAGTCCAAAACTGATTAAGAAAAGTCCACCATCCCAATATGTTAACCTTGGTTTGAAGCCAATTATTTCATTTTGTTTGAACACCACCATTACCCAAGGAACACAAATCAATAAATAGTTTTCCATTGTTTGTTCATATGTTTGTATTTGTTTATTGTTTGGGTAAACTTGAAGAAACACACAAACAAGCCACATTTATATCGATTCGATTCGTTTAAACACCCCATAGTATCATTCGTTTTTAACCCACAACACCATATGCAATAACTAACAAATAATAACAATAATAAAAAAAAAGTGCATTTCTCATTAATAAATGACCCAAACATTTTTTCCTTACGCCCATAAAATACCAAAGGACACTGCACATGTTAGTTATTATAACCTATTTACTCATAAATCCATCCTCCCAACTTCCAAACTAACAATTTTCAATAAATCTAGAACCACATCGATGCAAATTCACCATCGAAAACGATCTAATCGAAGACATGTTCTTCTTATTTAACTCAAGATCTTTGTTTTCTGAAGTAAACCGCAATGTGGAGGATTTGGCTTTCTTTGATATTCGTCCCATATTGATACCCGATAGTTGGAACGCAGTGTGGTTCTTGTTTTTATGCGATAAAATAGTGGAAGCTACAAGATTTCTTCGTTTTCTTGTGTACGCGTTATCTGGTTTTGCAATTTCATGTATTGATGGTTTAGATGAGGGCCACATTTCGGTTAAAGATGTGAATGATTTTGATTTCCCGTTGTAGAACGTTGATATTCCTCTTCTGTAAATAAAATGAGCGTTAACTTTTAGTAATCGGTATAAAGTATTAAAATAGTTTTTATTTATTTATTTATTATAAATTTTAGACAAAAGAATAAAGTAGTTTACTCTCGTTTAGTTGTAATAGTTATATACTACTAGTAATAAACATTCCATTTTTATTTAATATTTGTTATCATTTAGTTCATTTGATCTAAAGAGGAACAATAATTTCAATAAGCAAACAACATCTATCCATATAAAAAAATAGGCCCCTAAATGTCTTATTTTCTCCTTTCAATAGTATTTTTTTTTGTATAAAATAAATAAAAATAATAAAAAACTTTTATTAAGTAAAAAAATACTAACAAATATATTAACGAATAATTCCATTGAATAAAGAAGGGGCTAGATGCAAAAAAAGAAAAAAAGCAACTACAATTTCGTTGATTTTTTATTATAGCATATTTTTTAATTTATTTGTATTATAACATTGTATTGTATTTTAAAAAAATATAGCGATTTTTTTAAAAAAAATCTAGCGATTTAGTATTGTCATCAAACTACAAAAAAATTTACTTGCTATAATTGGATAAATCTTTTAATATACAATGTCTTAACAAAAAAATTAACATACTAAAACAGAAAAAAATATACAATACCATAATGTATAAATAGATACAAATAAGTTGTTATTTCTTTTCTTACGCTAAATAAAAATGACACCTTGGATATTAATTTCGTGGAAATCGTTATACAACTGTGGTCCAAGTTAGACCAGCAAATTGTTTGATGAATTGCATGTGCACGTATATGTATTTTAAACCTACCCAATTAAACCACTTTTAAAACATGTTATTATATTTATAATTAATAGCCTCTTTTGGTCACTATTTTACTTACCCCACTCCTTATCTATATACACTTTCTATCTTATCCTTTACTTTAATGGACAAAATAATAAATAAGAAACAGTACAATAATAATACAAGTGGCACAATGTCCCCTTTATTTTAGTATTATGGGATAGGATTGTGACCATATATTATATAATTCTAAAAGAATATGCGGATATAAAATAAAGATGTGAAATATGTTTTGGTAATGATGTCATACACTTATTTTGTCAAACTAAAAACAATAACATTGTAAAAAGAAAGATACGGCAATTTAGATCCTTTATTTTGTAATATCATATAAATATATATAATTATTGTGATCTTTATGGAAAGACGATATTAACGCTTTTTTAGGTTGACTTTACAATAATATCCATAAGAAAAGAAGTTTGATTTTGATAACAAAAGTTTTTGTGGATCGAAGTAAAAATTGGAATGTTTTTGGTAAAAGATAAGATAAGATGTGTTTTGTTGAAAATTTGTCAATTGTGAAAATGGAAATGCATCTAAATTCTATTTGGGACAAAAATCGTTTGCAATTAGTTGAGGATGAGATTGAGTATAAGATAATACATCCCTTTCATTCACCAAACTTTTCCTAATTTGATAATTTCCAATCTCACACATTGAAATCGTCAATTAAATGTTTTCAATAAATTCTTCAAGCAAGAATCGTGCTTGAGTTTATGCAAATAATCAATTTGTGAATGTAGCTCCTTGATTGTTAGCTAAAATAGTTGCTTAAAAGATCATGAATTGCATTAGGTCAAGTATCAGTATCAATCTAGATGCATACGATTCGTCATGGAAAAAGAAACAGTTGAAATTGAATCAGAGAAAGTAAAATTAAGATACCTAATTTTCATGATACCAAAGCAGAATCTAATTCTGTAATTGAAATCTACGACGATGTTAATATACAGAACTTTCACACACAAGAGTTAATGAAGGAGAAGACGAAAACAAACCTGATCGGAAGCGCTTCCTCAAGAGCTTGAATTGCATCATCGAGAGAACCATTGCTGATTTCGTTCTTATTCTGATGATCATATCTATAAGGACTTTGAGCATCACCTTCCTGATCGCCGCCGTCGTCGTCGTCGTCGCTATTTTTGCCGATCGACGAACTACTAGACGAATTACACTCTTCTTCTATGATCCTCATGAACTTTGTCGCTCCGGCGGTTTCGTAGATCCTTTCAGCTTCTATTCGTCCTCCGTGATTGGTCATAACTACTGTCTCCGGCGGCGGCAACGGCAAAATCCGGCAACCACTACCAACACTGCCCACTCCTTCTGAGTTAAGTTTCATCCGATCAATGTAAATCAAAAAAATGTTGGATTTTACGGAAGTAGTAAAGGAAGAGACAACAATGGGCGCCCCAGTTTAGAATCCGAAATCAGTGTGTTTATGTGTATTTATACACTCATAGGTGTGTTCTTTATCCTACCTTTTGTCCGGCTGGTTTTTCATTTATTATATATACTATATATTTTTTATGAAATTAGACTTCCTTTGACTTAGGTGTGTTTGTTACCTTCTTACATTTTTTAATATTACTTAAAAAAAAATGGATGATAATGTTGTAAAGACATATAGGTTTGTGTTTTCGAGGCAAGATTTTGAGTAGGGATGCATCAACGGGCCGGATCCGGATCCGGACCGAACCAACCCGAAGGTCTTGAGTATCCTTGATCGAAACTGGACCGTTTTAGGGTGTGTGGGTCTAGATTCCGGGTCCCAAACATGGTTTGGTTTTTGGACAGAATTGACATTTGTTTGTCTAAATATTTGTTGGACTTCATATAACTTGTTGGACCATATGAACCATATATTCTATTTGCCGGACATCTTTTACCCAACAATATAGTCTTAAAATACTAAATTAGTATCATTAGATTTTCTAACTGTATTATACATATATCTTTTTGTATTTTTCATTTTCGATATGTTTATTTAAAATTGTAGTAGATTTTAGATATTTTTGAAGTTTGTGATTACGAAATATTATCACATTTTTTTTCATCTAAATAATACCTTGTAAGAACTATTAAAGCAATTTATTTCTGATTTCTTTTGGTCAGGTTTCAATAAAGAAAGAAATATTTTTTTAAAATTTCTGATTTGGTCTTTGGTTTGAAATTAATTTTTTTTTCGTGAATTCATAAATCTAAATCCAAATCTGTAATATATATGTTTTTGTTAGAAATATAATTTGTTGTGGTATTCAATTAAGAAAGAAATATTTTTTCAAAAGATTTCTGATTTGGTCTTTGTTTTGAAATTAATTTTCAGTGTGAAATCCTAAATCTAAATCCGTAATATATATATATTTTTATTAAAAGTAATATATATATATATATATATATATATATATATATATATATATATATATATATATATATATATTTTATTAAAAACATAATTTTGATATGGAAAAGTAGTCAAAAATAAAATTTATTTAATCGAAAATGCCTAATTTTAGAGATGATGATAAAACTGACTAGTGCTTTAGTATTAGGCTCAGGGGAGTGGTGCCGAACTCCACCTCAGTTCCGGCTAAGAAAAGAAGAATCGAAGAAGAGAGGAGGGTATGGCTGCCGAGTTGGGGTGAAGGAAAGTGGGAAAAAGGGAGGAAGAAGAAACAACTCGACAATATTCCACCGAGTTGCCGAGCATAGCTCGACATGCTGAGTGGTCGGCCCGGTGTTCGCTAAGGTTCTTGCCGAGGCCACTCCGTCCAGCCTTACGGAACTAATATGTTCCTTTTTACGATGATTCATTTATTCAAGGATTTTTAATAATTAAATAACGTAAGAAAAAAACCTTTCGATTATGGTCTGATCTGGATAAAAACACACACTCTGGGTACGGTCCGGTCCAAACCTGGAAATTCAATTTTTGTTAAAAATTTAAACCGAAAAAACTCAGTTAAATGTATTTCCGATTTGGTCCGGGTCTGGTCCCTGTTTTTTTTCCGGTCCAGGCCGGCTCAATGGGTCATATGTTTATCCCTAATTTTGAGCGTTTTTTTAATTAAAGAAAAACTTTGTCTGGAAGTGTGTGTTTAAGGCTTTTATTTTAAGAGAAGTGATATGGTGATGTTCGAACGAATGAGAGATAAAGATCAAGGGTTTGATTTCTATGGAAGATGTTGAAACAATAAAATTGTAGATCGATAGATTCAAAATAGTAAAGTAAATCAACCAAGAAGAACAATGATCGAAGTTGTGCTGAATGATTAATAATCAATGCCTTAGAAGAATTCAATTTGAACTTTTATGTAAAGACAATGTAGGGAATCACAAGAACGATTAACCCTAATACAAAACATGCATGCAATATTTATAGCCTAACCCTAGCATCCGTATTAAAGGCTAAATACATACAAAACAGGCCCAATCCATTTAATAAAGGCTAAATACATACATATTAAATTTGACACAACTCAATAAATAACCCAACAATCTCCCCCTTTGTGTCAAATAAGGAAGGGAACTCTTCATTGTTGTTGGCACTTCTGAACCTTGAAGAGTTTCGGCATCAGGCCAAGAAAAGTGTTGTGAATTGTGATATACCATTTGATCATATCTGTGAAGCACTTCTTAGCTGCAGCATCATTCACTTCGCATTGTTCAGTAATCCCTAAAACATAGTTCAGACAGGTTGTAGAATAAAGATGCTTGTCTGATCAGGAGAACAAACACCTCTGAACATTCGTACCATCTCTAGCACTTTGTTGAAACGCCACATTCCAATTGTCCTTTTGGATTCTTCCGAGTTTATCTTGGAGACATCGTTCGGAGCTTATTTTCGTTGCACAATGGGTTTCTTTCGGAGTACAACCGTGATCTCCACATCCATTTTCCAAATTTCTTGAATGTAGGAGACCAACATCCTTTTCAGATGTGCCACAATGGGTTCGAATTTCTGTTCATCTTTAGATAAAGTATTGAACAAAGAAATCCAATCATATGGATTAAGGCATGGCAAATCTGCAAGAGTGAATTCAAAGATCGATTTGCTTGCTCCTCATGATGCTTTGAACCGAGCGTTAATAAAGCTTTCTGTTTCAACCGGACCAAAGACTTTCACAACAGTAATCTTCTTCGAACTCCATGTTTGATATTGAGGCTTTCCGTGTTTAAGATAGAAGGATAAAAGCGATTGATTGACATTGTTATCCGAATCAGGAGCTTTCTCTATCTTATCAAAACATCGGAATAAAAAGTCCTTCGGAGTTATTGGAAAGTCAAGTTGAGACTCCAAAGTGTTTTCCAATTCAAACGAAGCAACTGGCTCCAACCAGTAAACATTCAGATTATCAATTGCCTCGTTCAGAATCCGCTCCATGGACCAAGGATGGAAGAGGGCCTTCTGAGTTTTGAGAGTAAACTGTGCTTCACAAGCCTGTTTTTCAGCTGCTTTAGCTTCTTTTGCAACATGCAGATTCTCATCAAGCTCTTTGTCATGTTTCCTCCTTTTGAGCTTAGCCTCTTCTGATAAGTCTTCTTCTTCCTCATCATCATCAACAACAATTTTACCTTTTCCTTTCGATCCAAAAGCTTCATTACCCTTCTGATCTTTTGGTTTTGGTTGTGGCTTATGTTCCCCAGATTCATCAGCTGGTTTCTTGGGTTCTTCAGCAAATGTCTTCTTAGCTTCTCCCCCTTGTTTCGGAAGAGACCCAGATTCTGAAACACCCTCTATACGATTAAGCATGAAGAACACTGGTTTGAGTTTGTCAGCGAGATGTTGGCGAACTGAGACTGTGAGCAACGAGTCACGAGTCTCTACGAGATTTTGCAAGAAAAGGTTGACATCTGCGACACAACTCTTGAGAACAGCCTTTTCGTACTTTAAAGCATCAAGCTGCTGGTTGGCATTTGCAATTTGTACTGAAAGAACCTTCACCTTTTCAGTATTCATAGCAAGTTTATCCATGATTTTATTCTCAATTACAAGATCTGCCTGTAACTTCTCAATCTTTGAAACTATGGAGGCACTCATCTCCGCATTGTCCACTCGGAGTTCTGAACGAACTTTGGACAAAGCTTCTTTCTCCGTTTGAAGAGTGGAGCCATGACTCGTGATCACCTTGTTCGCAGCTGCTGTGTTCTTATCAGAGGAACTCCGAAAATCCTCCATAAATTGAGTAATATCAGCAAATAGTTTTTCGACTTTTTCGGTCGTTTCACGAACTGTCTTTTATGAGTTTTCAACATTTTTTGCAGAAGCATCGAGACTTTTGGCATGCTCCTTGGTGAGAGTTCCAATCAATGCTTTGTGAGCCTCAAGGAATATGCGCGATCAGACGAAGATTTGGAAGACTCAAGCAGAGTATCTAGTTTTTCATTGAGGGCCTTGAACTGCCCTTTCGTCATGGGTGCATCATCATCATCACTCTCCTGGTGAACTTTGAATGGGATGTAGTGGAAATCTTGAAAAACATCTCGATCATCACCAAAGATTGTATCAGGATCATCATCTCTTAAAGGCGAGACGGTGGAAGAACTTGGAGCAACGGTAACACCAAAAGCACTTTCCCCCGTATCAGATACGTTGACAGTCACTTGAGGTGAACTCGTAGTAGTGGTGGTTGTTACGGTGGATTCAATGTATAAGGGAGTGGTTTGAGCAATCGAGATCTGTGGTTGCGAAACACCAACAGATACACTGGGACAATGAGCGATTGTGATGGGTGTAGATGTGGTAGTAGGAGAAGGAACATGAAAAGAATCATCTGACATGGGAATTAAAGCGGAAATGGGAGATGATACCTTCGCAGTAGACTGAGTGGGAGTGGGCTCCGAGACCATGGGTTGCGAAGTGGCTCCTGTATCATTGTTGTCGTTCCGAGCCTAAATATCTTCGGAAATGGTTCGGGACTCTGATTCCTCCTGAGCGACTGGTGAGGGTGATCTCGACTTGCGAGCAACCCTCTTAACTTTCTTCTTTGGAGTTTGAACATGCTCTGAAGGTCCAACTTTCACTTGTCGCTTTCCTCCTTTTTAGGCTTATTTCCTTCCTCAAGTGCTTTTCACATCGCATCAGACATTGGACGAGGACCTGGTACTGGCTTCTTTCGGTATTCGTTGATAATCACATTCTCTGCAGGAACGTGAAGGAGCATGGCTTCCGGAAGTGAGCCCACAAAATCAAACTTGGTAGGATCAGAAACCATGAAGTTGTTGGTATGGAATATTGGAATTGCAGCCAGTACCGAGTCTTCTGGTACTTGAATTTGAAGGCGAGTGATAGACCTCTGAACAATAACATACCAAAACCTAGCACAAGAAATCTACGAATGCCTTGATGAAGATAGTATGCTCTGCACTAGCTGCGCCCAAAGAACTGACCCAAATCCAGGTTAATACCCTTGTAAAGACCATAGATTAGCGTGCAGAAGAGCTTGTTGGCACTGTC